CGGGGCAGGAGGCGGCGGGGGCGGCAGCCACAGGTGAAGACGGCCCTGATAGAGGTGCCTCAGGGGGCCCTTCCCGCGCACTCCCAGGTCGGGATGGCGGGAAGGGGAGGCTGCCAAGGAACCGGGCCTGGTGACTGCTTCCTGGCCCGGGTAGCTGCGGGTGGCGTTTTTATCCCGCCACAAGGCCGCTCCAAATCCGTCGGAAGTCCCCAAAATGACATGTTAACCCCTCCACAGCGACCGGGGCCTGGGAGTTAAACTATAGGGTGGCTACAGATTTGCATGTGGAAAAAACAAAGTGCTTAAGCCTCTGCTCACATGCTCCTTTTTTTCTTTTCTTTTAATAGTCTGCGTGACATTTTCCTGTTTGAAGGATAGATTCAAAAATGATGCTACCCTGAGTGTTTGAAGGCACCTAAATCCAGCCAAGTGCTTGCAGCATATAGGGCAGCTACTTACAGTGAAAGCACCCTGCAACATGAATAAATAATTACTTGCTAAGTAAGTGATTAACAATTTGCTGCCCTTTCCTAACATCCTCCATCTGGTGCTGCCTGAGGTGAGCCTCTTACAGACAAAGGGCAGGACCGGCCCTGCAGCTCAAGTAGCACCACAATAATTTCCTGCCCCCCCCCTTTCCACAACAGCTAGATCATTTCAAACTCTGAAGTCCAGCTAACCTGATAAAATGAATTATTTCACTTCATTTAATTTGCTGCAAAATGTGAGAAGCCTGCTCTGACTGTGTGTGTGCGTGTGTGTCTGCCTGCTACTTTTGCAAAGCAGTGCCCTGGACATCTGCCTCAGAGTTCTTCTCTGACTTTTAACCCATCAGTCCACCCCTTCATTTCTCTTCCTTAAAGGAATGGTGGTGACCACCTGTCAGTTGACCAAGGGGTGTCCTGCGGAGGACAAAATCCCCACAAGGGTAGTATTTTCAGGCACACTTTGGAATATTTGGTGACTGAAGTGCAGCCAACCATGAATCCGCAGTACCCGCTGTAGCAATAAATGCCATCCACTGACTTCATGTCTCCTCCTAATCCAAGGGGGCCCTTGGGTACAAAAGCTTCCGTTAGGGTTTGTCCCACTTATCTGCTCTGGGCATCTGGCTGCATCTCTGTTCTTGACTTTTACCATTCTAGCTCCACCACTGTCAGCCATTTGAAGGGATCCTCCATCTTCAAAAGCATGTGCCCTTTCTCTCTCTTGCTGCCTACCTTTATATTTGGCAGTGATGCCAACTCTCAAGTCCTTCCTTATTACTGTTGACATTTATATCTCACCATTCTCCCACGCAGCTCAAGTTTGGGTTCATGGTCCTCCCACCCACCCCCTTCTTTTTACAGCGATCTTGAGCGGTGAGTCAGGGAGAGAGATCGTGTCTGATGACCACAGTGACCTTCAAGGCTGAATGGTGGCTTGACTCTCAGATTCCTGAGCCCAAATCCAATGCTCTAACCACTGCACCATACTAATGTCACTGTTGTCCATGAACTGGTGAGGATCAGATAAAGAGACATGCAAATGTCAGGGTGGATATTTAACATTGTGGTTGCTACAGTCTGAGAACATCTGAGTCACCAGATGTTTTGGACTCCCATCTTTCAAAATCCCTTATTATGGGTTATGCCAGATGAGTATTCTGGGAGTCCAAAACATTTGGAAGGCCATGACTTCCTTACCCCTGAATGATATGATAGTGACCACAGCATCAGCTGCCCTCTCAGAACTGATGCACCAGTTCTAGGACAACTCAAGACCCTCAAATTTAAAATCCAATACTCCTTTTCTATTCCTGAGATATAATAAATTAAATAATAATCATTTGCCATTCTTGACTTAAACCCCAGACTGGAACTTATTAGGGTCAGTGTTCAAGTCTGTTCTGCTAACCTGCAGCAAAGTTCAGCTGAGGGTTAACCTGTGTTAAAGAAGTGAACTTCCCATTCATTCAATAATCTCCTAGTGATTGAATGTCATTTCTAGCATTCAGAAAAACCTCGGTTTCTTTTTTTACTCGCTGATTAGCATGTGATGGACCTCACTGGATGGGCATCATGTGAATTCTTTTTATTGCCCACGTGAAAAATGGAGGAAGAGGTCAGGGAAAACCACACTTGGCAAAGTTTAAACCTTGCCAATCCAGAAGGTACTCATGCACTTAGAAGGGGAAAAGAAAGAAAGAAATACTTCTCCACCCATTACATAATTAACGTAATTTCCCATGACTTGACTGTTCCCGAAGTTTCACATACTGCATGTTTCAAAAAGTAAAGAAATTGTAGAGCTGGAAAACGTGCAGAAAACGGCTATCTAAATTGTCAAGGGACAGAAGCAGCTTCCCTGAGATATAAGATCACAATGTTTGGAGGTGGGTGTTGGCTCAGAAAATATATATGTGTGTGTGGGTGAGGATCATGTGCTTGATGGATAATATTATGCCTTATCTCAAGGAAGGGGTTAGAAAAAAACATGTTTCTCTATAGCTAGAGTTAACACAAGAGTTTGGGGTGATCTACCAAAGATGGAAAGTAGAACATTCAAGACAATGAAAAGAAGTTTTTGTAAAAACCCACCATTAAATTGCAGAATCCACCATAATAAAGACATCAGCTTGGACAGTTTTAAAAGAGAAACACATACATGGAGTGTAAAATGGGTACCAGTCATGGTGGCTACATATTACTTCCCAATTATCAGAAGCAGCAGGCCTCTCATCACCAATTGGTGCAGAACATAAATTGGAAAGATCCTATTATACTTTTGTCTTGGGGGCTTGCCATAGGCTTGGGGATGGCCACTATGGAAACAGGAAGTCAGACTAGCCAGGCCTTCAATCTGATCTGGCCTGGTTCCTCTTTTTAAATGTGTTTTAGGCTTCCTCTGAAAATCCATCGTTTCTTGGATTAAAGAATTATTTATTTTGATATGACACCATCTAATTAAGGAAACACATCATCATCACATTCTAAGCCCTATATAGGCAAATTGGACATAAGTACAAGGTGTGAACAAATCAACACTTATGCAAAATGTGTAATATATTTATCTAATTAAGGTTACATCTTCTGTTAAGGTTTGTTGTGAAATGTCTTTCACTGAGAGCTCATGAAAGGAGAAATTCAATTTATGGGTAAGTAACATTTACTTGTTTCTCTGAGTTCTTTCTTCTATGTGATGCTTTAGAAATTTCAAGTAGTTATAATGCATTATACATTCTTTGAAGTCTGAACACAAGATGGTATGTATCTTTTAGACAGCAGTCTATTGGGGGAAAAATATAGAATAAATAGAATCCACTGATTTCTCAGTTTTGTCTTATATGTAGAAAATAAAATCTTGCTGCTTTGTAATCCCAGATGTCTGCTTGTCATTCCCAGGTATTAAACTGGATCAAGGTTATCAGAGAAGACAGGGCAGGGTAAATGAAGTTTTAAGTTTAAGGAAAAATTAAAAACTGAAAAATTAAAAGCAAAACCTTGCACTTTCAAGAAAAGCTGTATGCACCACTGCAAATTTTAGTCCTGATGTGAAAAAGAGATATCAAATACAGAGCAAGATTCTCCAAAAAAAGAAAGAAAGAAAAAGAAAAGAAAAAAGAAAAGAAAAGAAAGAAAGAAAGAAGAAGGAAAGAAGAAGGAAAAGAAAAGAAGAAGAAGCACTATAGTGAACATTAAATGTCCCCAAAGGAAATGAAAATCAAGCATCCATGCTTCATCTTAAAAAAAGTTATTTATGTTTTAAGAACATCAAATCTTTTTAAGCAAAAGGATATATGCCTCTATTATGTATACTCAATGGCCAGCCAATTTAGTTTGAAATTTGTTGCATATTGAGCAGAGAGTACAAGAAGAAGAAGCACTATAATGAACATTAAATGTCCCCAAAGGAAATGAAAATCAAGCATCCATGCTTCATCTTAAAAAAAGTTATTTATGTTTTAAGAACATCAAATCTTTTTAAGCAAAAGGATATATGCCTCTATTATGTATACTCAATGGCCAGCCAATTTAGTTTGAAATTTGTTGCATATTGAGCAGAGAGTAAGGGAACAGAAGATGGGCCTGTTTTTTTGTTAGCCACAGAGCACCCTGATTGTAGAACTCCTTCACAAGGGAAGGGAGGCTGTCTCCCTCCTCGAAAGAGTTTTCAACAAGTAGTCAGAATTGCATTAAGCTTTTTGGGGGGTGGGGGAGGAAATAACATGCCATAGTTATGGATCATCAAGCCTCACCTTAGGCCCAAATCAAAAACGGTTGAGTTCAAGCTCAAGGGAGAGTCAAGAACGCAAGACTATCTGCGAAAGGTAGGAGCTGTGTGCAGAGAAGGGGTGGGAGGACATTCAAATCTTGGTTGCCAGCCAGATTCAACGTCCACCCACCTCCCCTTCATTCTGTGTGGCATAACAAGGGGACAGCTGAGGAGGCATGTAGAAGAGTGGGTATGTTTTTGTTCGTTTTTTAAAAAAAATCCTTCTGTCCCTTAAGGCAGCACCTAGGCCACCCTGGCTTTGGGATAAGGCGGTTAGGGTAGTAATGTTGCAGTTAACCATCAGAGGCAGTGTGGAGCTCCTTGAGTAAATTGTTCATGTTACTTTGGTAAGTATCCTGACACATCTCTCTCTCATTGTCTCTCTCTCTCTTTGGAGTGAAGGAAGATCTCTTTCCTCCTGCTCCTCTAAGGCCATATGGCTATGGGAGACAGGGGACAGAACCTTTGATTATTGTTTGCTTGCATTTACCAATACAAAGCTGTAGGACCTGTGTGAAGGTATGGGTGCAAGTGGACACCCTTGGCACTTAACATTTATGAACTAATGATTCTTCCTCCTTCAGTTTTGTAAAGCCTGCACTGAGTGGTGGGAGTAA